GGCCCCGCCGCGCTGCTGGCCGCGCTGCCGCGCTTCGGCAGCCTCAGCCCGCCGCCGCCGCCGCCGCCGCCGCCCGCGCTCTACTTCGGCGCCGCCGCCGCCGTGGCCGCCGCCGGGCGCTACGCGAAGCCGCTGGCCGAGCTGCCCGGCCGGGCGCCCATCTTCTGGCCCGGCGTGGTGCAGGGCCCGCCCTGGAGGGACGCCCGCATCGGCTGCGCGCCGCGTGAGTACCGCGGGGCCCGGGGCCGCGCGTCCCGAGCGAGCGGAGCGGAGCGGAGCGGAGCGGAGGGTAACGCGCGCGCGTGTGTTTCCCCCTCCGGCAGATCAAGGCTCGATCCTGCTGGACAAGGACGGCAAGAGGAAGCACACGCGGCCCACCTTCTCCGGGCAGCAGATTTTCGCTCTGGAGAAGACTTTCGAGCAGACCAAGTACCTGGCGGGCCCCGAGCGGGCGCGGCTCGCCTACTCGCTGGGCATGACCGAGAGCCAGGTGAAGGTGAGCTGGGCGGCCCGGGGGGGGCGGCCCGGGGCGGCGGCGGGGCCGCGCGGTGACGGCGCGGGGCCGCAGGTGTGGTTCCAGAACCGGCGGACCAAGTGGCGGAAGAAACACGCGGCCGAGATGGCGACGGCCAAGAAGAAGCAGGACTCGGAGACGGAGCGGCTGAAGGGCGCCTCGGACAACGAGGACGACGACGACGACTACAACAAACCCCTCGACCCCAACTCGGACGACGAGAAGATCGCGCAGCTGCTCAAGAAACACAAACCGGGCGCCGGGGGGCTGCTGCCGCACCCCGCCGAGGGCGAGGCCTCCGCGTAGCCCCGCGCACATGTACAGATGTATTTTTCTACGCCCCGAGCGGCCGGAGCCGGACTGCGGGCTCGCGCTCTCGAAGGGTCGCCGGATGCGGCCGAGCCGGGCCGGACCGCGGCGTCGTTATGGTAGGGTCGCCGGCGGCGGGGCCACCTGTTGAAGGCTCTTTGTAAATAGCCCGCGGTCCCGGCTGTGAATAGCGCCCGTGTACGATACCTTCGTTTTGTTTTTTGTACGGCCGCCGGGCCCCGCGGACTGGGGGGGGACCGCCCGCATGGCGCTGGGGTGCGGGGCCCGAGGCCGTGCCGTAAGGGAGGAGAGAGAAAGAAACCCCAACGGAGCGGAACTCGCGCTGGTGGGAACTGGCGGAGCCGCTTTCGGGCGGAATATAAAAATCCATTTAGTTGCTGTCATTGAATTTAAGGTGTGTTTTCCTTTTGTATCATACAGAATACTATAGAATGTAAATTGTTTTCTTCTTTTTTTTTTTTTTTTTAAGCTAATAACGATGATCTATCGTGACATAGCGTCTTAACCTTTATTAATTTATATTAAAACCAATTCGGTTTGTAAAGAGAAGGAAAAGCCCTTTGCAAGCCCCGTTCGATGTAATGCACTTTCTGTTCGCAAACAAAACAACGATAAAACCAATTAAACCCTTCTCCCGCCGTCTGCTGCCTTCATCGGGGGTACGGAGCAATAGGAAGAGTGCGGGATGGAGAGGGGGGCGAAGGGGAGCACAAAAGCACAAATGCGGGGCCGAGCGCGGAGAGCGGCGGGGGAGGAAACACTGCGCAGCCGGCGCTGTGCCCGCCGGCCCGGGAACGGCACGGGATGGAGCGCGGCCACGGCCCCGGGGCAGCGTCCTGCCGGCCCGTCGCGTCGGGCTGTAATCCATGCCCGTGCCGTGCCATTTGGGTATTGCTCGGAAATTTTTTTTTTTTTTCTTTTTATCATTATGAAAGTGCATTCTTTTTAATTCGCCGCGGCCAAATACGAGCCCCGTTGCTCAAAAATTATAGCGACTATTAGAGTAACGTACGGGCGCCGCGCTCTCACCGAATAAAAACCTACGGAGAAAGCGGCGGGGTCACGGCGGGAGCAAACGCTCGGCTAAAGGGGCACTCATCGCCCATCCCGCACCCCACACCCCAAATCCCGCACGTAATGAGGGCCATCCCAACACCCCCCCACACCCCCTCTCCGCCGCCGCCCGGTAATTGAGCAGATCTATTAACTTGTTACACTAGATTTGTTTAAAGAGACTATTACACAGTCATTTAATCAATTTGTTCCACTGGAGGTCCTGACTTATGAGACACTCGCCGTATGATTCCTTAATGACTGAATTAATTTGTTTTAATAAAACCAACATTGTGTACGAGCGCGTTTCGAGAAATGCCATTTCGGAGGCGCTTCCCTCGATTCGCTCTTCTCTACGGTTTGTCAAAGTCCGGAGCCGCCGTCATAAGCCGCACGGACGGGGTATTTTTCTTTTTTATAGCGTCATTAATTTAATATGGATCATTAGTTCTTTATACACACGCATGTTCTGACAAATGTACCCAATGAATAATGCACCTAATGCGTTCGGGCTCAAATGCATCACGCCGTAAACAGAAACCGACGCACGGCGGCGGCGCTCGGATTGGCACCGGAGCGGGACGGGGCGGCGGTACCGAGCTCCGCGGCTGCGGGGAAGGGAACGGAAGGGAGCTGGGAACGGGACGGGTGCGCCGAGGTGCGGCTGCCGAAATGCTCGCGTAAAGTTAACGGCGGTACGCGGCGGGGTCACAGGGCCAATCTAAGGTCGTTTGAATTCCGCCCGGGGGTTAATTAGATCACTGCATTAAAGCAGAAATAGACTATCCCCAACTATCCTCTAACGACCACAGGCAGATTTTTTTTTTTTTTATACGTATATAGATATACCTCCTCGTGGCTCCCTTTATGAGTAGGATGCAGGATGTGCATCAGCAACGAAATCCTGCCGTCAGTTCCTCAAATCACGACAGAGCGCAGCTCCGGCCCGACGCGGCCTTCGGGCCGTGTCCCTCCTCTGCCACTTTCGAAGCCGCGCACCCCGCGTTCCCCCACTCCATCCCCGCCCCACGCACACGGCCGCCGTTTCCCAGGCTGGGGAGCGGCGGCCACCGCGTCCCCCACGGGCGCGGAGTTCCGCAGTTCAACGGGTGCGAGCCCTCGGAGCCCGCAATCGCACATTATCCCGTCCGGAAAAGGAGCTCCCGGGCCGGTAAATATCACCGAGCTCTGCTCACAGAGGGGCGGCTTTAGTGAGGAAAATGAGGGGAGAGGAAACCGGAGCAGAGCCGCCGGCTCGGAGCCCTGAAGCCCGGAGCCGCCTTCCCCTGCTCTGGGGCCGACTTCTCTCTGGATGGAGCTGTTCCGCTGCGCGTCGGGGAGGCGGCAGCTTCGGTGCCTTCAGCTCCGGGAAACCCGAACCCGGCCGCAGCCTCTCAGCCCGCACCGCCCGCGTAATCCCTCCCGAGCAACTTCCCTAGGCGAGACCTTCAGCCGCTTTGCCTATGGGGCAAAGCTTCGCTTTGACAGAGAGACGCATTCCCGGCAAACGTTTCTTTGGAAAGGCAAATTCCTAATCGGTTTCACATCTGCACTTCACAGCGCCGGGCTAGGAATCAGGGTTCGCCGTACCGCCGGGCTAGGAATCAGGGCTCGTATCGATTGTCACACTGGGGGCACCGGGTGCGTCCCCCACACGCGGGAATATCGCTCTGAGTTATATTTCCAACAACGCCAGCCCGCCACAACGATTGCCAAAGAGTTTTGAATCTATCTGTTCCCCCACTCCGCTTTTCGACAGGAGCGCGGCTGGATCTCTTAGGAAGCAGGGCGATGCAACGGCACAACCAGGGATCGGCGGGCAGAAAAGCACAGAACAGGAGCTCTGGAGCCCACGTGCTGGGCACAACTGCAGAAACCTGCCCGGTCACCAACGAGATTTCTGTAATAACAGCAGGAAGCAACAACAGCACCGTGGTACACAGAGAGAGAACAACAGCAGGAACTCCCTGAGATCAGCCCCTTCTTTGGGTCTGTCCCGATACCCAGCACTGCTGCTGCGAGCTGGACTCGGTGATCCCCATGAGTTCCTTCCAACTCGGGCTGTTCTCTGGCTCTATGAAAGCAGAATCAAGTTTGCCAGCTATTTACAACTGGGAAAAGGCTGCGTTTGTTGCACAATTTACTTCTAATAATTCCACCAGCTTTGTGAGGAGGGTTTCATTCGTTAGGGAGTCAAGGAGGCTGCCTCGCCCCCATCTTTAGCAGGATGCAGTTCATGGGCAGCGGGGAAGAAGAAATCATCGGACCCTCTTCCTGCCCAGGCCCCACAGAAGTACTTCTGGAACGCATTTCCCAGAATCTCACTGAATCCCGTATGTCTGAAACATGGGACAGGCTGGGTGCAATAGCCAAAAACTGACTGAGCAACACAAAGCCCTGTTAGCAGAACCCCCCTCACCCCACGGTGTCACCCCCTGAGCATCTGGGCAGCGACTCCTTCCCATGACAACATCTTCCTCATTCTGGCAGAGTTGTCCCTTCCATGGGAAGAAAAATCCTCCAGTCTAAGACACACGTACATAGGATAAACGTATACCTAACACGTATCTAAAACCAACCTTTACACATCTGAGCACATCCCTGCACACATCTTTATTAGAACAGCTGTTAATTGCCTGAGGTCCCCGAGGAGGCCACCAGAAAGATTGCCGGGGCCCCGCTGGGACCCAACAGAATACCTGGGCTGGTTAAGGTGCTCTGGAGCTGTGTGAATCAGAAGGAAAACAGCTCCCCCTACCCATTTTATTAGAAGGCAATAAAATCTGGTGGTGTCTCATTAAATTTAATGAGCCTTCATAAAATAACCATTACGCCGTGGAGGTAATGAAAAGAATAACTATGATGGTTAGTAAATAAACCAGCAAGGGGGATGCTGTTCAATGTCCCAGATACCCACAGGGTGCCACACCGGTAAATAACTCCCAGAGTGAACTCCACTCCTTTGCACCCTTCTGCATTCTCCTCTATCCCAGTGCTGGGCACTTCTTTCCTCCCATATGACATCAGTGTGCTCAGTGCAGCAGCGTTTGTTTTTATGGTGCTGTAGGCTATGTAGGTAACTGCCAGCACTAAATGTACTGCTCTGAAGCTTCTTTAAAATCTGTGCTCACTTCTGAACATGTCACTGTAGAGGTTTTGGGGACAAACTCCTCAGTTGGAGTAAGTATATGCACATATTCATATCACAGTGACAGATGAACAAGAATCCAATATCACAGTCCAAATTCCAGGTCTTCCTTCTCCAGCACAAAATACCCAAGTGCTGGAGCTCCATTTGCCCACGGTTTTTATATGAATGTATCACACAGTTGTGCTCTTCCACACAGACTGCTAACAGAGATGGTTATCTTCCTGACACTTACACTGCCCACCCGCCCTGCTGATTCTTCTCTCCCAGCCCGAGGGATGAGCCCTTTGCCTGACTCACCAACCTCTCCTGAGCAGACTGGGTGACAGTGCCATTTTATGGGAGAGGCAATGCAATTTTTGTCGAATTATAAATATTGCAGCCCTACTCCTTCCCCCCCCTCCCCAACTCTCCCCGCCACAGCAGTTCCCAAAGACATGTAAACCTATAGTGTTATTGCTCCCTAATCTAGCTGAGGTGATGAAATGGTGCCAAAACTCGCACTGCAATTTCATCAGCATATTCATGAGTCGCACTTTTGCAGTGTTGCAGAAACAACACAAATTGGTTTGTGAATTGTGAACTCCCCCTTCTTCCTCGTCGTCTTTTTCTTCGGAATGGCAAATTGAGGATTAGCGAGGCGAGTGTGCGTGGGTGACTTTGGGACCCGACAGCTGAAGTTTGTTCGTGTGCCTCTCTGCCTTCCACCCTGCTTTCTCCCCTCAGCCGGCACTGCTTAACAGAGGAGCCGGGATCGGGGCTGCAGACCCATTCCGAAGGCTGGATGTGAAGCGCATCCTGCACGGCAAGCTTTCATGTGGAGCTTGATTTAATTTTTCTGCAGAAAGATCACTTTAGACTTGCATTGTTCCCGTGAAATAATGAAACGTTACTGATTTAATTAGAGCTCAGTTTTTCAGCCTGTGCTTTCTGTATTGTTGAAATTGTGTTTAGCATGGGACAAACCTATCAATAGATAAAGCAATTTAAAAGACACAGCCACAGAATATATTCTCTTCTCCTTTCCCTTTGCCAGTTTCAATTCATTGCTCAATTTAAGGACGGAAATAATGTTTGTCAAAGAGTACCTGACACATGAATTCCACAAAATAAAAAAAGGCAGAGAAAGAAAGATAAAGGAAAAAAAAAAAAAAAAAGAACTGCATCTCCTGCTTGTGTGCTTAACCCATTTATGGTACAATATACAGATAATCCAATCTGCTCTCAAAAACAAGGCTTGCGCAGTTGCACTATTTCACAACGGTTCCTTTAAACTCGATAGCTTTCTTCTATTTTCTTTTTCCTTGAACTGAGACACCTCTCTGAGGTGTTATGTCAGGGTCCTCAATGAAATTTCAGAAAACCCCCAAGGATGCCCCAGGACAGAGCAGCACAGGGCAGTGCTGTGCCCAGGAGCAGGGCAGGACCAG